ATTCTTGTTGTTAAACTTTATGCATGTGCAAATAAACAGAGAAATATAGAATTATTAAATTACACATTTGATTTGTATAAATTATAATTATATAATTGGAATTTTAAAAACAATTTTTAAAATATTTACTCCAATAAAAGATGCAGTATGTGAAAATTGAAATAATATTGTGCTGATCTATATTTTTCATGGTTTTACATTAAATGTATTAACAAACATTTTTATGATACATATTATAAGATTGTACAACATTAAAAAGGAAATATAATAAAGATATATTATTGGTAATACGTATAATTTTATCACTTGATAATGTGTCTGTAAGTGAAAAATTGTTCTACCTTAATTACACGAAAAGTTTATTCATTTTTACTTAAGAATGTTTCTAAAATGTTTTATAGGATAAAAGAGTGAAAGAAGATTATGATCGTAACAAAAAAATATTACAAACACAAGTTGTATCCTACCAGACACGATCCTGCGGGAATAAAATTTTCCACAAACGGACCCAACCTTAAAATCGGCGATGAAATTTTGTAGATAACTCATATTCGGCATCTGAAATGAGTCCAATAGTTAATTTTTCATTTTTTTCAACAATGATGCAGCAGGCCAAAAATTCTGAAAAAGTTGTCGCTCGAATGCTTCATTGCGAAACCTGTATTTTTCTATTACCTGGGGGGTTTTTCATTTTTCATGCTAAGAATTTGGAATGGAAAAATCTCAAAAAATTCTCAGCCATGCACTGCGTTGTCAAAAGTGTCTCTGAATTTTTTTACAATTTTTATTTACCATTAAATAGGGAAACTGGGACAAAAACTGATAATTCAGATTTACCCTATGACTACCCTTCCGGTTGAGATAGGAGGCTAAAAATTGGTGTATAATGTTTTTTATGGATAAGCTATCGAAGGAAACTTTCGCGAGAAAAATTGGTCTAAGGGCACTTTCGACCCCCTTATTCTGCTATACTCGTTTAACAAACTTAGTTTAAAGTAATAATCAAATTTTAACTTTTAGAACTATTTGTATGTGAATATAAAAGCTAAACGTATACTTTTTACGAGAAATAATTCTACACTATTTTCAAATAAAATAACAGATGAGTAAATCATGTCACACATTAATTGCTTTGGATTACTACAGTACGTAATAGAGTAAATACTTTTCGTGTGAAACAATCAAATACTAATATACATAGATCTGAAAATAAAATATTTGCACGAATCACGAGATATGTATCGCTACTGATTCAATTTAATATTTTCTTCAACGTAATATGGTTATCTTATCTACGCAATAATTTATCTGTTATTATTATATAGTTTCATTAATCCTGTTTTAATGCTTCTAATGTTATAAAAATAGACATTACTTTTTAAAATCTATGAGCATTTCGAAAAATGCAGGTACAGCTTTAATTATTATTTGGCACATGAAAATATATAATGATCTATTATATATAGTCCTTTGAATGTTGAAAAAATACATTAAAAAAATAAAAATTTCTTAGTTGGCGTAGCATCTAATTTGATCATTTGTTCACCACGTTGGAAGTACTTTCTTATTCGTTCAACAACTTTAACAATTCTTCGATTACGATTACGACAAACGGCTAACAAACACGAAATACAAACGCGAATTACGGTATTAGTGTTGTATGTTTAGTCAGCGTGTAAAGTAGTTGTGTATTGTCTCTTTTTTTGTACTTTAATTGTAGTCGTGTGCTTTCTTTAATAAAGGAATAGTTATTTGAAACATTCTACTCTTACACTACTTGATGGACATTTGTTACGAATATAACATGCAGTCGAAATTGCATCTGTCCAAAACATTGATTGCATCCCTGATTGTAACAGCAAGCAACGCGCCACATTTTCTTTCTGATATTTTAAAGTTGAAAGTCATATTTTTAGCAATTTTTTTACCATTTTACACCATTTGAAAACTAGGAAACGTGGTAACTCTCAAGATATTAGAGATATTCAGTACCCACGGAAAAGTATATTTTTTAATTTAAAGAAAATATCATTCAAATTGATTCATTTAGTTTTTGTGATATTTGTTCACCAATTTGAACAACAGTGCTTCAGAAAAAATGCGTCTGCAGTTTTACTATACACGATGATAAGCTTAATTAGCGGTGACAATCATCAGAGTATTTATAACTATGTTAATTTCCAAGATTTTGAAATTTTCTTTTAAGTACGCGTTCTTCAAACAAAAGAAAAATTGCTTAAAAAAATTTTCAAGAGAAAATTTTAAGGTCGTTTGAGTCAGTGAAGAGATGAAACTTCTAAATAATTGTGGAAGTTTTTCTTTTTTAATTTGATCTTTAAATTGCCTTAATTCAATAGGGTCATGGGCAACTATATTGGATTACTTATGTAGTTAGATTATGTATGTATAATGTGTAGTTATATTATGTATTCATTGAGTGATAACTAATAAGTTATTATATTAAATATAGTATTTTAATATTTCTAAAAATTTTCGAAACATTCCAGTATGAGTGAACTGTTCGGATAACTTCTTGAAGATTTTCATTAAGATATAGTCTTCTTTTCCTTTGGTACTTACACTGCCTTAATAAAATTTTTCACAAACCAAATTTAGTATGTAGAGATGGTAAATGTTTTTCGGACCCACGAAGTCTAGTGTCTCTCAAAATTGATTTTCATAAAAACTGTAGGCGATGAAGAAAATTAAATTGCATATTCGAATTCAGTGTAAAGAGTACTATCAAGATTACCCATTAAACCTTTTGTGCTAAAAATCGTGTTAACCAGTGTAATTAGCAGCACAATTTACGTATTAGTATGATAAGCGATATTATTTGCAGACTGAAATGTTTGTAACTGGTGAACATTGAAATCAATTTAAAATTCAAACAAGTATGATTGTTGGTGAGGATAAGACTTATCACATTACCTTGGAATACCTTGTATGAAATGTACTATTTTGAATTAATTTGTATATTTTACGCGACTTGAAATTTTGTTCAGTGTAACGGTTACGGTGGAAAAATTCCAACTGATAAAGTAGTACTTCAAATTCGGATCGTTTAATTAGTACACGCAAGTAATATTCAGAGTTGTGTGAAGCATTTTTGTCGAAGCGTTGTTTCGTATGGATATTGGGATTTTTAAAGAAATGCCGAAAGTTTGATAAAATAGAACAGAATTGACGGAAAGACGAATCATAGAGGATTCCGGTTTCATTTTCAAAAAAGGTAATGAAAGGTAATGTTAATTCTCCGTTTTAACTACTGGTTTTTTGCTGTTAAATCCGAACTGACCTGATTCACCTCGGTCTACCCCTAAAACAGTATCCTGTTAACAAACTGAAATTTATGATATTGTTTAATTTTGAGTTACTCTGTGTTTCCTTATAATATTTAATTGTAATCTTGATGCTTTTGAGAACTTGATGTGATATTAAGATTGTGAAGTGCCATTTAAAGTACATTACTATTCAAACGTCAACAATGTTACTTAACGGTCAACAATTTGTCGTGCTTTACGCTAAAGAATACGATATAAACTTGTAGTCATTCCAGATTTGTACGAAGACGTTACACGAAGTTTACCAGACACAGAACAATACAATGGTGAAGGCTAAAAAGTTTGTATTGGTGGAATACTTCCACGGCGAGCTAAAGGCCACTGATTTACAATTAGTAGAAGAAGAATTACCACCCCTTAAAAATGGAGGTAAATAAAAAAATTCGTATAGAATATTATGTACAACAATAGCAGAAATGTCAGTCTCATGAATTATTTGCGTTCTCCAAATGGCGGCCGTATAAGGATTGGAAAGAGGTGGTTAACAAAATGTTGTATTATCTGGTATTTTTAAGGTTTAATAATAATTAAAAACTTTTCTTAGTAGTACAGTCAAATTCATGACACATATTTTGTATTTTAATAACAAATTGCTGATTTTTGTAAATTTTCGTAAAGAAGCTATTGCAATAACATTTTACGTGTACGTGGTCTTTGGAACTTGCATAAAGAATATTATAAGGAGTGCGAATAATTCCAATGCTTTTAATAATGAGTTTTTATGATGTTGTAACGTATTTACTACAGTTTGATAACACTCAGTTGGAATTATTTTCAGAGTACTTAGCTGAAGCGGAATTCCTATCTGTGGATCCTTATATGCGAGCAGGTTCTAATGAGTTGCCAAGAGGTATTACAATGGTCGGCCAACAAATAGCTAAAATTATAGAATCCAAGAATCCAGAATTTCCAGTTGGAAAGAGAGTTATTGGTTACATGGGATGGAGGACACACACGATTGTGAATCAGGAGGAATTTGCAAAACCAGAAACAATGAATCTGTTACCAATAATTTTACCAGATATCGAAGAATATTCACCATCTTTAGGTTTAGGAGCTTTAGGAATTATAGGGTAATAATGATTTAGAATCGACTGGTTAAAAATGTTATTGCATTTAACATTCGCCTTCATACTTGTTTTACCATTAATTTTATTTTCTACTTATTGGAGCTGCTAAATTCCATATTTTCTATTATAAGAATACGTAGATCACTGTTTGCATGTTTACTTGGAATCACGCCTATGTATTTTCCATTTATTATCATTGATTTTGTATTTTACTTATTAAATATCTAAAACTCAATGTTTTCTGTTTTTAGAAATACAGCATACTTTGGCTTGCTTGATATCTGTACACCAAAGAAAGGGGAGACACTTGTAGTAAGTGGAGCTGCGGGAGCTGTTGGTTCCCATGTTGGTCAGATAGGAAAACATGTTGTTGGGATGTATGTTATCGGTATCGCTGGTTCTGATGAGAAATGTAAATGGCTGGTGAATAAGCTTGGCTTTGATCATGCCATTAACTATAAAACCGAAGATGTTGGTGCTGCATTGATAAAAGCTGCGCCAAAAGGAGTCGATGTCTATTTTGACAATGTAAGATTAGGAATTATATAAAATGTTTTATGTTTGCTAGGTGGGAGGAGAGATTTCTAGTACAGTCATACGTCAAATGAAGCTTTTCGGTCGTATTTCTGTTTGCGGAAGCATTTCTGTGTATAACTCAGATTTTTCGGCTTTGCCGAAGGCTTCTGTAGTACAGTTTTTTGTTATGAAGAAGCAATTGAAAATGGAAGGTTTTTTTGTAACTCGATGGAACGATCATTGGATGGAGGGCATAAAAAAAAATCTTCAATGGATACGCGAAGGAAAAATTAAATCTCGCGAAACTATTACCAAAGGCTTTGAAAATATGTTTGAAGCATTTATTAATATGCTAAGAGGTAAAATTATTGGCGAAGCTATTGTACAAGTTTAAATCAGTTAAAAACTAATGTAATATGTACATTTAACAAGTTAAACTCTTAACAACTTAAAAACTAATGTAATATGTACATTTTTGTTTTATTAGAAGCGTTGTTGTTATAGTAAAAAATTAAGAACTTAAGCACCTTTATCCTATATAATAAGTACTGTCTATTTTTAGTACACATTTGAATATTTTCTGTACATAAACATGTGTGATTAGGAATAATATCTTTTTTGCGATATTTAAAAGATTGCTTATTATTGCGAATAAAGAATTGTGCAGGAATAAACAATGTCCCTTAATCAATTGTTTAACTTTGGACTACTATGATAGACAGAATATTAAAAATAATGATTTAATAATTAGCAATTTATTAATTCAGAATAAAGATACATTTAAGGGAACTACTTTTATGTATGCAAATTTCAACCATTTCTGATTTTTTCTTTTTAAATGAATATGGCGACGTGAGATGTGGCAGCCATTGAAGTTAACATATAGTGGAAAATATAGAATAATTTAACAAACAATAAAAATAATGGCATACAAATTACAGGCTGTTATTTTGGAACACGTATCCATACAAAACTGTGAAACCTTTGATCTGTAATAATCTAACAATTTGTTATTTTGCAGACACCCTTCTAACTGATCATACGCAATTAATGTATGAGTGATTTAGAATAGTAATGGTTGAACTCCTATTCCTAAATTCTCGAGAAAGCTTTTGCAAAATAAAATGGAAATACTAATATTGCAATGAAATGTAAATAATGATATTACAATTAATAATATTTAATATAATAATATTTACATATAGTAATAATATATAATATAATGATATAATAAAATTTATTAATAATCTTTAATATTTATAACATTGCAACATTACTATTTAACTAGTCCAAGAACATTTTAAAGGTTTTTTCCCCTGAGTACTCAGAAATAGGAATTAGACCACTACTATATCGAACCATTCACATCAATCTGATCACTATTAAATATATTCGTACACAATGAAAATATACCGACAAATTGGCATAGACAGTTTTATTGCAATATATTACACAGATTATAGTGCATCACAATGAATAATTACATTTGCTTTCCCGATGCCGAATGACGTTACAGCTAGAGTCCTTAGGTATATATCTTAGGAATCGTAATATTACGTCTAGTACAACCTATACGATACCTTACAGAAAAAAGTCGCGAACTTACATCCACTTCTAATTACAATATAATACATTTTTTTTCCTCAAGTTAGTCGTGAAATTCCATTGGGTGAAAGTGTTTCGTGGTAGACGAGTAAACATCGTTTCGCGATCGAAACATGGCGCGCGCGCGCGGTGTGTATATTAAATACATATAGAAATTCTGAATCTGTTCCGAAATGAAAATTTATTTCAATGTCGGTTTACTTATATAAATATTCGGGCGAACATCTCACCTCGCCGCACAGATTACCTTCTATGTTTATTATATTGTCGACGCTAACGTAGAAAATCACAACGACCGCCACTGATGTGAATAAAATAAAAGCTACGGTTTTTCTCCACTGTCCAAAGCAATTATTTTTCACACAATGAAGCTTTCCGGCGCCAGACCTTTGAGAACGGACCAAGCTTATTTCAACTCTTTTTTTTTAACGTTTTCTCCTCGTATATTTTAATTTACGTACCTATGAGATCCACCTTCGATATATACAAAAATCGAATGCTGTATGACGAAACGAATACATGTAAGCACGGTGTTCCTTAAAAATTTCTGACGTTTCTATATTTTTCATTTCGTATATTAGAAAAATCAAACAAATTTCTGATGTGAATCAATCTCTCTCCAATCAATTTCATATCAATTATTTTTATTACAGTAATATACAAAATTTAGCTGCGACAGTGAATCGTATTTTTAGGAACACCTTGTTTATGGCATGATGACAGGGCCGTGGGTTTTATGCACTCATAGAAGACACAAGTGTTTGAAACACGATTACAATTGTAGTTAGTAGTAATTGTAATTACCACGTCGACTGCCACGGTGCTCACCGATGACCGGAGCTTTCAAATTACTTGAAAACAATTATAATAAGAAAATTGATGTCGAATAAAAATATTTACGACATAAGCAGTTAGATAATAGCGTAATATGAATACAGTGATACCAAATCATTAATAATTATTTCTAATACCATTTTTCTTTGGTATAAGCGAATAAGCATTATTACACAAAACGCTCGAAATTTTTGCGGTAGTCAACGTATTCATAGCTATCAGAATTGGCAATAATATTTCTCAAATTTTTTTGTGATGTTAGTTATATAATTTAACCAAAAATGTACATGACCAGTTTTCAATGTAGCTTTTTACCTTGTTGTATACTTATTGTTAGTTGACTATGGATATTTATGCATGTTCACATCGGGAAACATATATTTATAACGATCTAGATAAAATAGAAATTATGTTTGTCTATTAAATATTTGATCCTATTCAAATAAAAATAAAATAAAAATACAAATGTAAAATTTTATTTCATGCAGTTTCTTTAAGTACAACTGTAAATGCATAAAATCCGCAGATTTCCACTTAATTCACAGTCTGAATTAATTTCTGTTTAAAACTGACGATAAAAATTTCAATTTGTACAAACATCCGCAATACAACAATGATTCAAACGACATTTTCACTGAAAATGTTGTAATTATATTACTAATTACATGTATCTCATATACTATGCGATTTTCGTAACAGAAATTGCTAACAAATTTTTGAACATAGGGTACAACGAAATTAAGTGACAAAAAGAAGCATGAATAAAAAGTTGACACAGTACTATTGTAAAAAAGTACAGTCACTATTTACTGGTTTATAAATTGCTTCTATTTGTTATTAATTAATTTTAGGAACAAGTTTCATTTACCAAATTTGTAAAAAGAACGTCGTCCCTTAAATTTTGCATTAAAAATGCGGATGTTTATTCAATTTCCTATTTTTAAAGAGTAATCTGAAGTGCCTGACATTGATCAGAAATTCGTTTCTTCCATTAATAGCTTTGTTTGTTAAAAATTAAATAAGAGGCTGAACAAGTTTTTTTAATGATTACATATTAATCAATCATAGTTCGATGGTATAATTCACAGTGGTGTGCCTCTTAAACGCATAAAATTCACAGTCTAATCATTGCAAAGGAATGAAATGTACAAAAAATTCCAGGATGCACATAAGTCAATCATGCTTTTACCTATTTATCAGGATCGAAATTAATCTTTAACTCCTTTCAGCAACTTCGAACTCACGATTACGATTAACTTAATCTCGCGTTACTCTATCGCGTTGGTGCACATGAAACTGTCGGTCGTACCCAGTTTTCTCATAAGCATTATATTTGTTCAAGTCATCGATGATCTTAGCATCTTCAATGAATTAATAAAATGTCATTTTAAATTCTCGACATGTGAACTGTTGATGGTACATGTTACTGTATTAATTATGTTTGTAAGACCTGTTTTTTCAGTTTTCTGAGCTTTTCCATTAAAAAATGATTATTAATAAGAAAAAAAGGAAATGTACACTATATGTTATAAAATATAGTATTTTTTCTTACTAAAAGTTAATAAATTTTACTGAAAGTCAAATTTAAAATAAACTTAATAAAAAAAATAAAATAACAATAACAACACCATAGATCTTTGTCTTTGATCTTATCTTTCCATAGATAAATTTCATTCAAATTATACCCGATGAAGAACAATGATTTTCAGAATCATATTTAGTATACAAAAGTGTACAAGAATTGTTTAGTAAATTTTGGAACATAAACAAAAATTTGTTGAACAATATTATTGAAATTAGTAGAATTATTATGCGAAAACAATAGCTAGTGAACCTCTGTTATCGGATACATTTGTTTTAGACCTGCCTTATTATTTGCTATGATAGCATAATCAAAATTTTACTGTTCCGTCATTCATACATAACATGTCACAACAAAGCGAATTTTGGAATACCATAAATAATATTATAATAATTCGCCGGTAGTATGAACCATTAAAACCTTATGAAAAATCTCGTTTATTCACGACATCAGTGCGATTATTAATTTTTATTGCAAAACAATATGAAAATTTAGTTACAGTATCATTTGTGTACTAAATTAGAGACCACAGTTATCTTAGAATTATTTCAGATTTTCACAGAACAACAATAAAAATCAAGGTTGACCATAACAGATCCATATTACTAGCCACGTTGATAAAAAAACTATAGTGCCAGCGGAAGTTTAACAAACGTTCGATTTGTCAAACCCTTTCATTTAAAACAACAGTATTCTGTGCACCAACCCCGGATTCGCCTCAATATATCACGGACGAACCTGGATTCTTCCACGATTTTTCCATCGAGTAAACACAATAGGATCTTCCAGTTAGGATCTAGGAAGGTGAAGCTTCGTTACATTGATTTTCTCCGGTGCATCTCGATCACCGTATCCGAATCCTTAAATCTTGAATTCTTTTGATCCTCGTTCGACGAACGAGCAACACGTTTCCGACCGGCCGTTACGTGAGATTCTATCACGTGACGTTGATCTCTTCGTCCTCCTCGTTCTCCGTTTGTTCCTCTGGCTGCTGAGGACTTGTCAGAGGGCTGACGTCGCTCAAGTCCATCCTCGGCCTGTCCCCGTCGGCGTCGCTCAAGTCTGGATTCGGATTGTTCTTGTTGGGCAGCGTTTGCTCCCGCGAGCCACCGGTTGCCAGTAATTCTCTTTCCTTGCTGTTCCTCCACTTCATTCGCCGATTTTGGAACCAGATTTTCACCTGAAAGATTTTATGAGAATTAGACTTTGAGTGTCGAATAATTTTTACATGAGATATTGCGAATAAAATTCATTTCTTATGTCTGCGATCATCATTTCAGTAGCTCAGGATAATAGCGGTCTGACTTCTATTTCTGAGTTCTTAAGAAAAAAGATCTTTGTGAAATGTTTTTGGATTCAATATTAAATTGCACTAAATTGTAATGACTAAATTTATATTAGTAATATTATTGTTTGATTATTAAATATTGCATTGAACTAAATTGTGCCTATTAAATTAATATTAGTAATATTAGTAGTATTAAATCGTTTACACAGTATAGAAATTGTTTGTTTCGTAATTTTCTTAAAACTTGATTATATCTACATGTTTTTATTAATTTATAAATAACATTTATTGAGAAATTTACAGTGTTAACCATTATTTTCTAGTGTAACGTGTACTGATGACAATTCATCGCAGTTTTAAGTTTTTTCTTATCGCGTTCAAAAGTCGAAATACATTTCTTTGCTAAATACTGTGTGCTCATTTGCTCTTCGAGAGTTTAATAACGGAGAATTTGTTTGCAAGAAATCTATAAATTGCGATCGCAACGGATTAACCGTATTCATATATCGGAAGCTAGAAAATTACATGAATCTGCCAGCGATTAATTCGACGAAATTGTTTTCGTCTTTTCATTTGGCGGGCCGTGTGCGTTTGACATGATGCGGAACCCTAACGATCTGACGCGTTATAATATGCTCTTTGGCAGTAGGGTAAACTCGGCACGGATTCTCAATATTGTGACTGGCTGCTGTATGTCGAAACATTATTACACGTCCTTGCGTAATCGCATCCATCAATGAGGATTGATTTCGTTTCTGGATTGATGATAAATTAAATAACATACATATAAATAAATATAAATAAAATAAAGGTATATTAAATTTTGATTTACATTTAAAATTGAATTGATTGTTTTTTGAGAAAAACGATAATAAAATTTTAGTTCACATGTCAATTTGTAATTTAGTTAATTGCTTTCTCAGAGAATATCAATAAAATCCTATGGATTCTATAAGCAACATTTTGTAACGTGTCTAATTAACATACGTGATAGTACTTAATCAAATATTAATTGTGTAAATACAAAGTTGATGAAGATAGATTTTGTATGATAATTAAAATAAAATAGTTTTCGTTACAGTTTTTTTACAATAGTTTTTCAAATAACTATTAATAGTTGTAATAATAAATTAATTTAGAAATAATGGAAATCAAATAATCATTTCTAATGATATTGCACAAATTATGAGTTCGTAACAAATTAAGAAGTTTTTTAAAAAATATTACTGAAAATGGTGTGATACAATAATTCGCAACAAATCCTTATAACAATTTACATGTTTATTGACAATTTAATAAAATTCAAGATTTATTTCACCTGTTCAAGAATTTGCCATTTTAAGTTTAAAAAAAAAATTGTCTGAATCTTTTGAAATTATACTTAAATTCATTTTGCTTCAAATATTCTGTTAATGTTTAAACGAATTGATTTTTTCCTTTTACAGAAAAAAATGTACAGAAACTCTGTACTAAAAAATGGAAATATTAAGTCTACCGGAAAGTTTTGTCCATTTTTGGATTAAAAGAAAATAATACGTTTTCAGTATATTCATTAATATTTACTGAACGATATTATTTTCATCGTTACTAATGTCCTCTTCTCAGCGTGTTGGTAATTTGTAGATTCCATTACTATAGAATTTTTGGAAACTTGAGATGCCACTATTGGACAGAACTTTCCAATAAATTCTCAAATATTTGTGCAAGTTGTCAACATAATTTCCTTGGAATTTATACTTTCTTCTCAAGGAAGAAGGTTAGAGGATAATATCAAGCCGAGGACATTGCTCGCTTGGGGTTGAACATTCCATCCAAGGACGCTTGAAAATCAAAACCAGAAGGGGAACGGTTTTACCCCGTGAATACATAAAAAAGGAGGTATGCTCATAGCGTCTTAAGCACTTTCGAATAGAGTTCCAGGAAACGAAAATTATTCTTCAATGACATGTGATTCCCTTCCCAAAATTTCTTAGAACACCAAATAAGCATCACAGTAGAAGTAAAAACTTAAAACAAATTCTAATTTAAATCTTAAAATAAGATTTTCAAACGTTAGAATTAATAACGTCTTAATTAACGTCTTCTCCTTCAGAGAAAATAATCCTTTACCATTAATCTCTCATCAATTCTTAATGAACTTATGTCGTGGGGTGAAGTTTCTCATAATTAAAAGTCCATTTCTGAAACTTTTAACTTCTTTTGACTCTCTTTTACAGGATATAATTAAGTTCCCGTTGATTTTATGTATTCATATCATATAAAAATGGAACACCTACGCTAATTCAAATACAAAACAGAAGGAAATATCATAAGAATTTAAAAATCCTGTTGTTTCATTTTCAACTTACCAAGATTCATAAGCAAAGGAAGTAGTCATTACTTAACCCTTGTTTCCTTAAATTACATACTTCCGTTAATAAATAAATACTTCTCGTGTTTAATAGTGTAAGCAGAAAAATTTGAAGATTAAATGCACACTAACAAGCTCGTTAGAAGCACAAAAACTGATTATTAATGAGGGTGTCGGTCGCGTGTTCGTTTGAAGACAGAAACAAAATACCAACAACAGCAGCAACAATAAGGCCGACAGCAGGGAATTGACATATGAAATTCGTTCACGTTGCGCCGTGACAGGTGCACGCAGTTCCGCGTGAATCAACGTGAACATGAAACGTTCCATAAAATGCTCCATATGATTTTAAAGAATAATAAACGTTTTTATTAATTTCCTGCCGGCAGGCTACCCACCCACGGAGTCGAGCAATATTAATAATGATGCGGTTGTCAAGCGCAGACACGCTTGTTAAGCGCGTTTCGAAAATTTTGTTGATATTCTGTAAAGTGTCTCGCTCGATAATGGGGGGTATTATAAATCGTATTTTCTGTTTTTGTTTCACTGCTGCTCTCCGATAGAAATGCACTGAATAGTCTGTGGAGCTTTCAAGTATGTATTTATATCCGACAGTAATTTAATTGCACACACAAATTATGCAAGCATGGTATAAATGCGATTCATGCGAACAGAAATGATTGTCGTCCAATTTATGGGAATTGAAGTCCAACGGAAAGTTGTTTATCCCGTTTTACTTGGTTTCGAATGAAATTGGAATCCTGTTAAAGTTTTGTTTAATTCCTCATTGTACTGAGACTTTTTATTTCGATATAAAAATCTTGGTAATTTTTTACTATAACAGCATATATACTATATAATGTATAAATAAATTATACGTAGCATTATATTACACGTATTATATCTTTAAGATTATATGTACATGTGTAAATAAATAAAATATAAAATAAAGAGCCGATAAACCAAGGATCTGCTGCTAATCGCCTTTGCACCTATTAATGAGAATTTGGAGCAGATGTTACTGTTATCAATTACGGAGCACAGTCTCATGTAATATCTGCCGTGCAGTCATGTTTCCTCTCTTCCCATTTATTTTGATTTTCTGCAATATAATGTCCATAAATATGTTATTTCGGTACTGCTATTTTGGTTTATTTATTTACTTTGCATTCGATTTATTTTCAATGTTGTTGGGTGTAAACTTGTTTTACTTTTAGGGAAATGAATTAAAGTAATTTACAGCGATAGAATTCAACGTTTTATATTTATTTTATGTGTTACTATTATAAGATTCAATTTTTAAAATCTTTTAAAATGTAATACTTTTGAAAGTACTACAAATAAAGTATAACGAATTAGTATTGTCATCTCCAGCATGACATACGAATGTAAAGGGTTAACAATAAAGAAAACTATATACTAACGACGTGCAACTAAAACAACGTATTCTCTTCTCCACAATCATTCTTCTCACTCGCAGTCATCACAAACTCTCAAACACACCCCTTCGAAGCCTAACTGGAAACCTTGGGCCTGCGACGTTGTGGAGATTACTTTTCTTCGACCGTTTGGCTTCTCTCTTTTATTGCTCTTCGCTCACACCCATTCTCGCATTCACGCTTCTTAAAAATATCTTAAGCTATGCTAAATATTCTAGATACCATAATAGGGATTATATTTTAATGGTATTAAATGCTCGGTAGTCCTAATGTTAATATATTTTCAATTATTGTTGTGTCAGTACTATCTATCTTTAAGAATGTAAAGCTATACGAAAATAATATAAATTTCTGTGTTGAAAGATTCTCGAAACTTTTGCAACAGCCTACATACACTTCATTTCAGAATCTAGATAACGCGAAATTTGAAAAAGATTTGGCAAGTTGTTTGTTTAAACGGCAATTTGAATCGTTTAAAATGAAGTGGAATCAGCATCAGGCCTCCCATTTTTATAGCCCTTCACACAAATTTCCGTGTTCACGTTTCTTAAAAATATCGTAAAACTACGCTGAAAATTCTAGACGCTACATTATGGTGTCCAGTTGGGGAGGATTGCATCGTGATCCAGGGAAACGTGTCGACTGCACGAGTGCACGAGCACACGCGTGTACACGTCGTCGGGGGCCAATGAAAATCCGGAAAGCAGTTTAGGTAAATCAATCCGCGGCGGGGTAAAACGGTTCGACGTCGCTTAAGGCTATGCTGGTATAATAAAGTGGCGAACAGGGCGGAGGATTAGGGTGGCGCGAAGCGGAGGCGAGCCGGCGGAAAAGGGTGGGCCGAGGGTGGGCGGGGAAAGGAGAACATTTTCAGGAGAGTTCATGTGCGTTTGACGTTGGCCCGTTCAGCGGTTCGGTAATACATGGTCTTTAATATACGAAAATTACGCACCCTTTCAGCGTCGCCCTTCGTCACCGCGTGTGCATTCACCGGGGAACGAAAAGAAGAAACGCCGCGACCGGGAAGCTGTGCCGGTGAAAGCCGCGGCCCTGGTCGAAATTGAAAAACGCCGATTCCACTTTTTCACGAGAAAAACGAAAGA